TAAAGTGAACTTAGCCAATTACAGGCAAGCACGATTCGTTCCAAAACAAGTAACACTTGGATTGAAATCAATTTTCTTTCAAAGCTGTTATTTAATTAGTTTCGGCCACGTAAAAAATTTAACTTCTAATAATTCCTCTTGCCCTATGTTGTACGTAAAAGTTTTTAACTTTTGATAAGAAAGAAAAATTCCTTTTTCCCAATGTTGTTTTTTAGATGCGTTTTAAAGATAATTTCAACTGGTTTTCCATGCTTTCTGTAAGCTTTTGAGACTGTTTTCGAGCAGATTTTGCAGTTGATGGGTGGTTTTGGGCTTGTTTTTAGATGTAAAAGTGTGTGATTTATCGACTGTTTTGCTGGGTTTAAAAGTGGTTTAAGTGGCTGATTTTTGTGGCTGAACACGTGAGTCGAAATCAAGTAAAATATTCAATGCCTTCACCCATGTCGATGTAGCATTAACAACAGCATCAATAGAAACTCGATAGTGATAAATTTATATGGTACAACAACATATAAATTAAAAATAAATTTTCGTACAAATTTGATACATTTCACTGATGATATAGTTCTGATTGATGAGACGCGAGGCGGTGTTAACGAGAGGTTGGAGGTTTGGAGACGGACCCTTGAGTCTAAAGGATTCAAGCTGAGCAGGACTAAGACTGAATACGTGGAGTTCAAGTTCAGCGGTGTGCCAGGTGAAGCGGACATAGACGTGAGGCTTGACTCTCAAGTCATCCCAAAGAAAGGGAGTTTCATGTACCTGGGGTCGATTATTCAGGGGGATGAGAATATTGACGAGGAAGTTACGCACCGTATAGGAGTGGGGTGGATGAAATGGAGGCTAGCGTCTGGTGTCCTGTCTGACAGGAAGGTGCCTCCTGAACTAAAAGGAATATTCTATAGAGCGGTGGTTAGGCCGGTCATGATGTATGGGGCAGAGTGTTGGCCAGTCAAAAATTTCTCATACCCAAAAGATGAAAGTTGCAGAGATGAGGACGCTGAGTTGGATGTGCAGACGCACTAAGCTAGATAAGATTAGGAATAAAGATATTCGGGTGAAGGTGGGCGTGGCTCCCATGGAAGACAAGATGCGGGAAGCTAGGCTTAGATGGTTCGAGCACGTGAGGAGGAGAAGCCTGGATGCACCAGTAAGGAGGTGTGAACGGCTGGCCTTGACATGTATGAGAAGAGGTAGATGGCGACCTAAGAAATATTGGGGAGAGGTGATCAGGCAGGACATGATGCGGATGCAGATTTTCGAGGACATGGCCCTTGACAGAAAGTTATGGAGGTCGAGCATTAGGGTTGTATGTTAGGAGATAGGAGGATAGTATGTTAGTGTTTTGTTTTAGGCTGCTAGTGGCTCCAGTTGTATTCTTAATACTTCATTAGGGTCGTAAGTTAGGCTGTAGTATGTTTAGTGGCACTTTGTGTACATATTATTCCCTTTGCGTCTGTAGTACTGTGCCTTTGTTACTGCTTAGTGTTACTATTTTGCTCGCTTTTTCTGGTTATTGTGTTGTTGGTGTTATCTTTCTGGATTCCGTTGCTGTTACTGATACACTGTCTCTTTCCTTCTTGTGCCGAGGGTCTGCCGGAAACAGCCTCTCTACTCCTCCGGAGTAGGGGTAAGGTCTGCGTACACACTACCCTCTCCAGACCCCACTTATAGGATCTCACTGAGTTGTTGTTGTTGTACAAATTTGATACATATACAATAATATATAAACTAAAAATAAATTTTATATAACTAATTATATAGTATACAATATATTTATAACTTATCTACAACTTTCATACATTATCTTTATCCAGTTAAATATATCTACAACATCATACAACTTAAATACAAGTTTCATACAATTTTTTTATAATATGCCTTTTGTATGTATTTTATATATGATTTGTATATATTTTGTATGTGATGTGTTCTTCTTCCTCTCTAAAATTTCAATTAAAACTTCTTATCTCAATACAATTTCTATACATATCAATAACTTTATGTAAAAAGATAGTATTTATAACTTAAATATAAATTTCTTACAACGATTCATACATTATATAGCTATTTTTTTAACTTTCATACAACATTCAAATAAAAAAAATATATAACTACAATATAGTACAACTTAAATATAATTTACATACAACTATAATACAACTTTAATACAATTTCGTAAGTATATTGTATGTCATGTATTCTTCTTCTTATTCGATTTTCAATCTAAAATTCGGTCAAAATCAAGTCTAATCTTCACCAAATACCCTCAAAATTGAGATATAAACTTCAAAAAATATTCTCAATTGTTTGCAACAACACTCAATCCAAATAAATAATAATTTTTGAAAACCCAAATTCGAATTCAAAGCATCAAAGCTTTTTAATAGCTGTCAATGGTGGATAATCAAATACTTTCAAAATTTATTGATTGACAATTTTAATTCGAACATCAACTGTGCAACATGAAAGGAAATTGCTAAGTTAAAACTCTATAGTAAAATGATCGAAATTCATTGATGAATTCCATTAAAACTCTATACAACAAGAAAACATAAAAAAATAGAGAACATCTAAGGAAAAAAATTGGGGGGAAAAATATAGAAGGAGAGATGGGGGGGGGCAGGTAGTATGGAAAAATAACTGATATTCATTATTCAATTTCTAATATAAAGGGATACTGATTTAAAACTTTTTTGTATATAATTGATAAATTGTATATGACCATGTAATTAAGTTAAAATTTGATTAGGAAAGATAGTAAAATTTAATATGTAGTATAGGAAGGTAAAAATCTCTTTATCATATTAGTGAGACAGTCACTAATTACGTTCGCATTACCAAGCCTAATTGGAGTCTTCAAGGAAACGCCAAAGAAACCCATGCCTCAGTATTTCATGGGCCTCCATTTGGTTTTGTTGGGTATGTAGCAAATGACAATCACTATGGCAACAAAAGTATGGGCCTCTAATTTCTTGGTTCATGTACATGTTTTCTAATTTTAGATATTTGGAAAACCTTTGCTTGTTGATGTTCTTAATTTTGTCAAGATCAGAGTTAATACGTAAATGTTGCATATTGATGTTGTTCTCTAAGTATAGAATATGCAATGTTTGGTGTTTGTTGTATTTCCTTTTGAAAAAATTTTGCGACACATCAAACATTTACACTGTATTTATCATTCATAACTATACTTTTAGCAAATTTACCATTCATAATTATATTTGAATTTTATAGCAAATCTATGAAATAAGAGATTAATTGTTTTGAACTGAAACAAGAGAGCAACAAGATCTCATAGCTCAGTTTGTTAGAGCGTCTCCTTAGCTAACGAAGGTCTTGAGTTCGAATATCAATAAAAACATTTTACATGTATTTCGCCTTAGTTGTATTTGTTGCGCGAACAAATACAGTTGATATAAGTTGTATCCTTTGTATACACTCTTGAATTTCGCCTTAGTGACAGTTGATACATATTCTATTCGTTGCATGAATACAATTGCGCAAACGAATATTGATACTGGTTGTATTCGTTGCGCGAACGAATACTATTGGCATAGGTTGTATTCGTTGTGCGTTTGAATATAAGTGTACAAGTTAGTAACAATTGAGAAGTAGTTACGAATGATAATTAGACAAATTATAGTTATTAGGCTCCCCAATAGTAAGTAGAGTTATAAGTTATTGTAGTCAAATGCGGACCTATGGATTCAGCAGAGGGGTCATCAGACCCCATTAACGTCGGCAATCTTTTTGAATATATGTGTATATATATATTAAAAGTGATCATATATTCTACTTGAAACTCTTAAGATTAAAAGTCCGAATAGGATATTGGTTGAGCATGTGCCCCCACCACGTTCAAATTATGGGTCCACCTTCGATTATAGTTACTGCTTAGAAATATTTCTTTAGTGTCGACAGTATGTATCCCTTGTGGTCAATTAATTGTTTTATTAGTTTATATGATATGTTTATTTTCGGGAAAAGATACGGCAGTAAAAATAGTGTACATGAGTCGTTAATTATGAAACAATTTAATGTGATGAATCTTTTCTTGTATTATCTATAATTCTGTAGGAGTAGTAGAAAATTGAACACACTACAATATCGCGCACTAGTGCGATAATTTCCTAAACATTATATCTTAATTTAGCAATTAATTAGATTACAATTGCTTAAAGAAGAAAGGTAACGCAAAATGACACACCTTTGCTTCTAGTTGCATAAATTTGTCGAATATAATTTCAGCAAATAACAATAAATGAACCCGAGTATGCTACAAAAGATGGAATATTGTATATTAGTTTGTCAAATATTAAATTCTTAACGTGGCAATCGATTAAAGATACAGTTTAAAGAAGGAAGTAAAAAGGTAAACACAAAAAGATAAACTTTGTGTAAACAACGGGAAGTTGCCGAATATATTTTTCAGCAAATAACAATAAATGCAGCTGAATATGATGCCAAATTGGCAAAACTATTAATGTTAGGTGGAGGTGCGGGGAATCGAACCCCGTGCCTCTCGCATGCGAAGCGAGCGCTCTACCATATGAGCTACACCCCCTTATTGTTTTTCACAAACTAATTTCTCAATATGTTTGCTTATTACTCATGATTGGCTCTACATAACAATATACATATCGGGTCAAAAGAGGTTTTCTCTACCCCTTCTTTTCTTAGAGTAGCACTCATTCCTTCCACTTTATTTGACTTATCAAGAGTCAAACTATGACGAGAGTCAAACTTCCTTCTAGGTTCAAAATATGAGGAAATACGTATTCTTTTCGTTTTAATTTAGATGATATATTTCGCTTATCGAAAGTCAAACTATGCAATGTTTGACCAATATTTTAAAATATATTATTTTTTATCATATTGACATGAGAAAAATTATAACTTATAATACTTTTTATATAATTATTGAATATCTAAAATTTAATTTTAAAATATTGAGTTTTCAAATTTTAGTTAAATATACTCTCGATAAACCAAATGTGTCATCTATATTGAAACAAAGGGAATACTAATTTTGGGCGTGAATCGGAACAACTTCTTCAATTTCGTATTTGAAAACTACTCCTATAAAAGGTATTAAAAATAGTGAAAAAGTATTTTAAGAAAAATGTGATTAAAAAAAACTACTTTGACTCCATAGATAGTAAATGTGTCAAAGAAAGTAGAACGAAAGGAGTATAATTTGAATGTCAATAATCCGTTCATCTTGATTGAGTTTGTTGAGTGATGTGGTTAATATAAATAGGACATCTATTGATAACAAGTATTCGCCTTAATCTATTTTTAACAAGGTTTATGAGAAGCTCCATAATTTTTGTATCACATGTAAATCTGTGATTAAAAGGAAAATTATATCGATACAAATTTACAAACAGATAACGGTAGGTTCGTCTATTATGATCATTGATAAGTTAACACAAACAAAAAAGTATACTATGATCATTGATAAGCTAACACAAACAAAAAAGTATACTTTTGTTGCGTATCCGTCTTAAAAGTAAATAAGAGGTAGACACTTTAAAATCAAAGTTTTATCGAAATTTATTTTAAATTTGAATAGCGATTTACTTACAAATAAAATTAGTATCTCTTACTTTTGTTATGTTTTTGTCTTAAAAGTAAACATGGAATATACATTTTAAAATTAAAATATTATCGGAATCTACTATAAATTTGAATAGCAATTCACTTACAGATAAGATCAATATCTTTTACCTTTGTCGCGTTTCTGTCTTAAAAAAAAAGGAGATATACATTTTAAAATCAAAATTTTATCGGAATCTACTATAAATTTGAATAAAGATTCACTTACAAATAAAAACAATGCCTCTTACCTTTGTTGCGTGTTTGTCTTAAAAATAAATTATAAATATACACTTTAAAATAAAATGTTATCGGAATCTACTATATAATTTGATAATGACACTTACAGATAAGACCAGTATCTCTTACTTTTGTTATGTTTTTGTCTTAAAAGTAAACATGGAATATACATTTTAAAATTAAAATATTATCGGAATCTACTATAAATTTGAATAAAGATTCACTTACAAATAAAAACAATGCCTCTTACCTTTGTTGCGTGTTTGTCTTAAAAATAAATTATAAATATACACTTTAAAATAAAATGTTATCGGAATCTACTATATAATTTGATAATGACACTTACAGATAAGACCAGTATTTCTTACCTTTATTGCGATTCTGTCTTAAAAGTAAACTGAAAATATACATTTTAAAATAAAATTTTATAGGAATCTACCATAAATTTGAATAACGAAACTTACAGATAAGACCAGTATCTCTTACTTTTGTTGCGTTTTTGTCTTAAAAGTGAATGCGAAAAAACACTTTAAAATCAAAATTTTATCGGAATCTACTCTAAATTTGAATAGCGATTCACTTAGAGATATGACTAGTATCTCTTATCCTTCTCGCTTTTCTGTCTTAAAAGTAAACGAAAAATATACACTTTAAAATCAAAATTTTATTGGAATCTACTATAAATGTGAATAACGATTCACTTACAGATAAAATCTGTATCTCTTATTGCATTTCTGTCTTAAAAGTAAACAGAAAATATTCACTTTAAAATCAAAATTTTATCGGAATCTACTATAAATTTGATTAAAGATTCACTTACAGATTAAAATAATGTCTCTTACCTTTGTAGCGTGTCTGTCTTAAAATAAAATTGTAAATATACACTTTAAAATAAAATGTTATCGGAATCTACTATAAAATTTAATAACGACACTTACAGATAAGACCAGTATTTCTTACCTTTATTGCGTTTCTGTCTTAAAAGTAAACTGAAAATATACACTTTAAAATAAAATTTTATAGGAATCTACCATAAATTTGAATAACGATACTTACAGATAAGACCAGTATCTCTTACTTTTGTTGCATTTCTGTCTTAAAAGTGAATGAGAAAAAACACTTTAAAATCAAAATTTTATCGGAATCTACTCTAAATTTGAATAGCGATTCACTTACAGATAGGACTAGTATCTCTTATCTTTGTCGCTTTTCTGTTTTAAAAGTAAACGAAAAATATACACTTTAAAATCAAAATTTTATTGGAATCTACTATAAATGTGAATAACGATTCACTTACAGATAAAATCAGTATCTCTTACCTTTGTTGCATTTCTGTCTTAAAAGTAAACGGAAAATATATATTTTAAAATTAAAATTTTATCGGAATCTACTATAAACTTGAATAACGATTCACTTACAGATAAGACAAGTATCTCTTACCTTTGTTGCGTTTCTCTCTTAAAAATAAACAGGAAATATATATTTTAAAATCAAAATTTTATCGAAATCTACTATATTTGAATAACGATTCACTTACAGATAAAACCAGTATCTCTTACCTTTGTTGTGTTTCTGTCTTAAAAGTAAAGTAAAAATATATACTTTAAAATCAAAATTTTATTGAAATCTAATATAAATTTGAATAACGATTCACTTATAGATAAGACCGGTATCTCTTACCTTTGTTGCGTTTCTCTCTTAAAAGTAAACATGAAATATATACATTTAAATTAAAATTTTATCAGAATCTACTATAAATTTGAATAACGATTCACTTACAGATAAGATCAGTATCCATTACGTAATTTTATCGTATCCTAAAAGTTGTTTCACCATGAAATAAAATTAGTTAGCGGTTAGCGCTGATTTTTCTTTCATATATATTGCATTTTCTAAAAGAGAGGCTTATTAGTTAGTTTTATATATTGCCTAAAAGCTACACAAATATTAAGAAAATATTAACTAACTTAATCCTTCATAACATTCACGGCGTAGTTAAATAAGAAAATCTCTAGAATATTTACGCGTTAGTTTTTTATCATTCAATCCATAACAAAATAAATATTCGCGTATGAAGTTACATCAACTGTCTTAGTGATAGACTTTGTTCTTCTATTTTCTCCGCTTACACTCTTATACTTTAGAGCTACATAAGAAAAGCTGCAATTATGATATGTTAATTTTCTTATCGTTCAATTAATCCGTAAAATTTTTAATGGAATCCGTGTACGACATTACATCAACTGTCTAAGTTAAGAACTTCGTTCTTTTTTTTTTCCCCACTTACAATCGTACACTTCAGCAGGATCTAACGAGGCTTGGGTACAAAACTTTCCATATATAGAAAATGTGTCCAACAAAGTAGAATGAAATGAGTATGATTTAAGAGTGCCAAATAATCTGTTCATCTTGTTAGGTGAGTGACGTGGTTAATATGAAGCAGGACATTCATTAATAACTTGAAGTGCAAGTTCAGTGACGTGACAGGGGAAGCGGACAATGACGTGAGGCTTGATTCACAAGTCATCCCCAAGAAAGGGAGTTTTAAGTATCTTAGGTCAATTATCCAGGGAAACAGGGAGATCGACGAGGATGTCACAGATCGTATAGGGGCGGGATGAATGAAATAGAGGTTAGCATCTGGCGTCTTGTGTGACAAAAAGGTACCAACGGAACTTAAAGGCAAGTTTTAAAGAGCGATGGTTAGACCGGCCATGTTGTATGGGGCAGAGTGTTGGCTAGTCAAGAATTCTCATATCCAGAAGAGGAAAGTAACAGAAATGAGGATGTTGAGGTGGATGTGCAGGCATACTAGGTTGGATAAGATTAGGAATGAAGATATTCAGGCTAAGGTGGAGGTGGCGCCCATAGATGACAAAATGCGAAAAGCGAGGATTAGAAGGTTCGGGCACGTGCGGAGGAGAAACCTTGATGTCCCGGTTAGGAGGTGCGAGCGGTTGGCCTTGTCAGGTATGAGAAGAGGTAGAGAACGACCTAAGAAATATTGGGGAGAGGTGATCGGGCAGGACATGAAGCGACTCTAGCTCACCGAGGGCATGACCTTAGATAGGAAGGTTTAGAGGGCAAGCATTATTGTCATACGTTAGTAGGTATTTGAGCATTTTTCTTCCCTGTTGAGGGTGTTAGGCTAGTTTGTAGTGTCTTGCCTTAGTTTATTAGTGGTACTTGTTGTGTTCGTATTGTTTTTCTGCTCCGGTTGCCTAGTACCTTTCCATTATTTTGATTATTGATATTGCCTTACGCACAACTCACGACTGACCTTGAATTGGCCAAAAAACTTTCTATTTGAACGGAATTCCACAATTGTAGAAGCATTTATTTTTCTGATTCTTAGGTTGCTGGCACTGTCTTCCTGACGTATGTTGTTGTTACTGTTCCACTGCCTCTTTTTCATCTCCTTGTATCGAGATTCTTTTAGAAATAACCTCTCTGCCCCGGGTAGGGGTAAAGTCTGTGCACACACTTTCCTGAGTTATTGTTGACATTCATTAGTAACAAGTATTCGCCTTAATCTATTTTTAACAAGGTTTATGAGAAGTTCCATAATTTCTGTATCCCATGTAAATTTGTGATTAAAAACTTTTTGTCGATACAAATATACAAACAGATAACGGTAGGCTCGTCTATTATGATCGTCGACGAGCCGACACAAAGAAAAAACTATACTTTTGTTGCGTTTTTTGTTGTAAAAGTAAACAGGAGATATACACTTTAAAAATTAAAATTTTATCGGTATTTACTATAAATTTGAATAGTGATTCACTTACCGATAAGACCGGTATCTCTTATCTTTATTGCATTTCGGTCTTAAAAGTAAACGGGAAATATACACTTTAAAATAAAAATTTATCGACATCTACTATAAATTTAAATAACGATTCACTTATAGATAAGACCAATATCTCTTACCTTTGTTAAGTTTATGTCTTAAAAGTAAACAGAAAATTATAACGACTCGACTTGTTATTTTAAGAATTAACGCCCCGTTCAGTGACTTAAGGTCGCGAGAAGCTTCGTAATATGTATTATGACCCACGTGTGTGGTCGAGTTTGATTTTTGAAAGATTCGCAATTAAACTGAGAGAACAATTCTCATTTTTCAAGTTTAAATGAAAAGAGTTGACCGAAATTTGACTTTTGAGCAAACAACTCCGGAATGGAATTTCGATGATTCCAATAGCTTCGTATGGTGATTTTGGACTTAGGAGTGTGCCCGAAAAATTATTTGGAAGCCCGTAGTTAAATTAGGCTTGAAATGGCGAAAATATGAAGTTTAAGTTGGAAGTTTGACCGGGGAGTTATCTTTTTAATATCGGGGTTGGAATTCAGTTATAAAATTTTTTATAGGTCCGTTATGTCATTTATGGCTTGTGTGCAAAATTTGAGGTCAATCAGACTTGATTTAATAAGTTTCGGTGTCGAATGTAGAAGTTAGAATTATTTATTTTCATTAAGTTTGAATTGGGACATGATTCGTGGTTTTAGTGTTGTTTGATGTGATTTGAGGCTTCGACTAAGTTCGTATGATGTTTTAGGACTTGTTGGTATATTTGGTTGAGGTCCCGAGGGGCTCGGGTGAGTTTCGGGGTCGTTTCGGACCATTTCTAGGCCATTTTAAATTGCTGGTTTTTGTCCACAGAGGTGTGCATCGCGATCGCGAACATTAGGTTGCGTTCGCGAAGAGTAAACAACAGTTTGGGGCCTTGTGAATCGCGATCGCGGAAGCTATTTCGCGATCGCGTAGAACAAACCTCTACTCTACTGACCCAACTTTGAAAGCTTATATCTCACAATCTATAAGGAATTTGGAAATGATCCAAAAATGAACGTTGTAGCCTTTGTGTCTAGTTTTCAGAAAGGTAAATCATTTGTCATTTGCAGTTGTGTACAAAAAGTTATGGTAGATAAACTACAGGCTATCTGGGAAGAGTTTGGAAATCTCTGTTGCATAGGGCTGAATTTGGAAGCTTATATCTAGCAATATATAAGGAATTAGGAGATGATCAACAACTGAAAGTTATAGTCCTTGGTATCTAATTTTCAGAAAGTTAAACCATTTACAATTTGGAGTTTTGTACAAAACATTATGACCATTATATTAGAGGCTGTCTGGAAGAGCTGGGCACTTATGCTTCGCGATCGCGAAGCATTTTCCGCAATCGCGAAAGGCAAGTTTTGGGCTGAGAAAAGTTGTGCTTCGCGACCGCGAAGCATTTTTCGCGATCACGAAGAGTAAATACATGGGTATTAGCTATGTTTCGAGGTTTCAGCCATTTTTAACATATTTGGAGCTATGGAGCTCTGATTGAAGCGATTTTTGAGGCGATTTTCACCATATGGATTGGGGTAAGTGTTCTATATCCGAAAGTGATTATACTTCATGATTCTATGGTTATATTCATCATTTATTTTGGATTTAAATGGAAGAAATCACGATTTTTGCAAAACTTTTCAAGAACGAAAATTTTAGATTTGGAGGTCGAGTTGTTATCGGAATTTGATAAAATTAGTATGGGTAGACTCTTAATTGAATGGGTTGTCGAATTTTATGAGTTTCGTCGGATTCCGCGTGGGCTCCACGAGCAATGTTTGAGTTAAATTTTGGATTTTGTTGGAAAATTAGTATTTTCATATGGAATTAATTTCTATAATTAATATTGACTGAATTAAATTAATTTGAATAGATTTAAGCTGTCCGGAGGATTTATTCAAGCAAGCCAGCTATTTTGGAATATCGATATAACTTCAAAAAGGTAAGTATCTTGCCTAGCCTTGAATGGGGAAAATTACCCTTTAGGCATTGAGTCTTATGTGAAAATTGTGTAATTGAAATCATGTACACGAGGTGACGAGTACGTACTTGGTTTATATGTACAAATTATATTGGTTGAAATTCGTAGACGCCCTTATGTATTAAATTGAAAAATTATTGGAACATAGTAAATCCTTTATTTGTCATGCATAAATCCTTATTTGTTAAATTTATTTTTGTATGATAATTTGCAGTGATTGCCACTTTGATTTTTATGTGAATCTCGTATTTTTGTTGAGTTGATATTTCTTAGAGATAATTTTATTATGGATTATTCATTTGAAAATAATTTATTATGTAAGTTTAAAAGGAGGCATTAATCTATTTGCCAAAAATTTGGATTAAAGAAGGCGCTGCTACTTGACGAATTACTTTCTAGTTCATGTTGTTGAAATTGATATTGAGTTATAAAGGCCGTAAATCATACTGAGGCAAAGTGTTAAATTGTGAAATATTATTTTGTTGAGTTGTTCACTCCCGAATATTTTGTTTAGCTTTTATGCATATTATGGTCGAGCCATGGGCTCCTTATTGTGGAAAATAATGTATTGTTAATTCTTGCGGCAAGTTGTAATATTTAAGCACTTGATGTGCAATTTTTGATATGTTGTAATATTTGAGAATTTAATGTGCAATTTGTGATATGTTGTAATATTTGAGCACTTGAGGTGCAATTTGTGATATGTTGTAATATTTGAGCACTTGAGGAGCAATTTATAATATGTTTTGATATTTGAGCACTTGATGTACAATTTATAATATGCTGTGATATTTGAGCACTTGAGGTGCGAATTGTAATATATTGTGATATTGATACGCATGCGGTGGTATAAGGTCTGGGTGTTGAAATGCATGCGGTGAGATAAGGGGGGCTTGATACGCGTGGCTAGTAGGGGAACTACTAGAAGTCATGCGGTATGATAAGGGTGGCTAAAACGCGAGATGCTATTTCGGGAAAAAAATAATTTTTAAAACTAAATATGAAGACTCCCGCGGTGATATAAGAAGGATTGTGAATTTATTTATGATTTGGTACTACGAGGCGGTACCTCGGGAGTGCCCTTTGTTGATATTTCTCTATGGTTGCACTTTTCTTTTGTTATTTTGTTTTTCCGAAATATGTAAATTCGTTTGTTCTCCGTGATGTATTATTTGACTTAATATTAAGTATTTTGTATTTCTTATTGTATTGTGTTGGCTTTGGCTTTTTTGTACGAGACTCTGAGGATTTGTGTCACGACCCAAAATTTTCCACCGACGGGACCGTGATGGCGCCTAACATTTCACTTGCTAGGCAAGCCAACGTTAGAAAATCGTTAAACCAATTCCTTATTTCCATTCAGTAAATAACAATAATTAACTAAGATAAAATATAATAAGTGCGGAATATCATAAAACTGTATTAATTACTACCACCTAGATCTGGAGTCACAATTCACGAGTATTCTAGAATTTACTACAAGTAATAGTCTGAGAGAAATACAACTATCTGAATGAAATAAAACAGTAGGACATAAAAGATAGACGGGGACTTCAAGGTCTGTAAACGCCGACAGATCTACCTTGAGTCTCCGGACACCGGACCAGTAGCAAATCTCGATCAACCTGAGCCGGTATCAAAATCTGCACAGAAAGTGCAGAGTACAACATCAGTATAACCGACCCCATGTACTGGTAAGTGTCGAGCCTAACCTCGACGAAGTAGTGACGAGGCTAGGACAAGACACCCACATATAACGTGAACAATATAATCCTGCTAGTGGCAACAACAGTGAAGAAAGAAATAAC